TTCCTTATATGCTTCAGATAATTGCTAGGCAGCCAAAGCTGTTGGCGCGCAAGATTATTACTGGAGAATATGATTGATGACACTTGGCTATGGATGTGTCCCTTTGGAGAATACACATCCAGGGGTGGGAGGAAGACCAGGGTCAAGGGTGAAATGAATGATGTGTCTTAGTGTTGGCTGCACCCAGGTAACGCCGACATGGTCATTCCTAATAAATCATTTTTTTTTAACTCTGAGAGATGTGGCTAGAGACTTAAGATTTGAATGGTGGTGGATTTGTCAGAGCCCTGACACCCCTCTCAACAAAGGGGTAGAGACAGGGGTGGAATGCAAATTTTAAACTACTGGTTCTGTGGGCATGGCTAGATGGGCATGGCTAGTTGGGTGTGGTCATGTGACTGGATGGGCATGGGTTGGGGTTTTTTTTTTTTTTGCTTACTGGGCCTCAGTGAAGCCTCCAAGGAGCAAAAACATGGGGGGAACGGGTGCTGCACCCCCCCCCCCGCATCCTGTTTTTGCTCCCAGGAGGCTTCCCTGAGGTGCAAGAGGCAAATAAAATAAAATAAAATATTTTTTTGCCTACTGGGCCTCAGGGAAGCCTCCTGGGCAAAGCAGTACAACAGCGAGGGAGGGATCAGCTGTGCTGTGTTATTTAGATTAGCTAGAAAATCGCACAGCACAGCTGATCTTTGGAAAACAGCTGATGGTCAGGGAAAAAGGAAAATACCTTGAACTTCGGAGTGAATTGGTTTGCTCCCAGCTGATCTTCAGAGCTACTGGTTGGGCTGAACCAGGCCAAACTGGTATAATCCCTCCCCTGGTAGAGATACGATGTCCTGTTTACAACACAGTCCTTGCAGTAGTTCCAAGAAGGTTCCACATCCATTTGCACCATTCAGGTGACCCTGAAGGCACAGATCAACCTCCAAGTGGCCTCAATGGTGCCCAGAAAGAGTGCTAAGTGTTAGGGATATACCCCTAGCAAGAATCTGCAGGGCAGTCAGGCAGGCAGGCAAAATATGTGAGATAAGTGTTGTGTAGCTTACACTCAGTAAACCATACACAGTGCCAATTAAAGTAGTTTTATTCCAGCAAGAGTTAAAGCATAGTCAAAACAGTCCATATATCATACACTTAGTTCAGTCCGTCCAGGGATTATTCATTTGCAAATTCCAATGTCCAAAATGAGAGGTCGGTACACTTACAAAATAACAGTCCGGTAATTTATCTCCTCGCAGTAGAGAGAGATATGCAACAAACTCAGAAAACTCCTCTCTTCCTTTCTGCAACTCCAGTAATTGCCAGCAAAGCGTCAGGGAATCGTCAGCTTCTCCTCAGCATCTCTTGCTCCCTCTTATGGTGGTTTCACACCACACCCAAAATACATGCTTTGCATTTAAAGTAACACACACTTTAAACTAAGAATCATAGCTTATATATATATTATCTTACCCAAACTAGTTAGGTGACCAATGTTATACCTAACACTAATGACCAAATATCTGCAGGGTATTCTACATCATTGCCAGAACTGAAGAAGCTTCTTGAATGAGAAAGGAAATGTCTTCACACAAAAACAAAGGAAGTTGCCTTTTGGAAAAATACCTAGGGGACATATGCCCCAAATTGATGTCCTTCCTTGGCTAAGAACCTCTTTGATTCTTCTTTCCCTGCTCTGAAGGTGACCCTCAATAGCATCAGGGTAATCAAAGGCCTTCTTCAAGCAGTAGCAAATGGAGGAACATCTTTAGGCTAAGGAGCTAAGTAAACTGACGCAAGGTCTGAAGATAAAGTGTTGGACTGGGAAAACTGATAGAAGAACCAAGACTAAAGAATGTTCCATAAAACTGCAAGCAGGTGACCTTAACTGCAGGGGTGGGATTCTACCAGTTCAGACTGGTTCAGGAGAACTGGATGTTAAAGTTACATCTGCTTTGCTGAACTGGTATTTCAACAGCCTGGCTGGCCTCTCCCACTATGCCCCACTCCTCCCAGGAGTCTACATGTGATGCAGGCCTCCAGATCCTTGGGAGGGTGAAAAACGGCCTTCCCAGAAGTACCGGAAGTCATGAAATGGACCTGTTTCCAGCGGGCCTCTAGAACCTGGAGGAGGCCATTTTCACCCTACCAGAGGCCCAGGGGAGGCCTCTGGGCCCTTGGGAGGGAGAAAAGGGCCTCCCTGGGCTCTGGAGGCCCACCAGAAGCTGGGAACAGGAATTTCTGGTAGGCCATGCCCACCATGGCCAGCCCATCTAGCAACCAGGCAGCAAACCAGTTGCTGGGATTTTTGAATCCCACTGTGCTTAACTGGTAAAAGAAATAATCCTTTAGAGTGAAGATCTGAGGTCTATCCTCCATTCCAAGTCACCCATCTATGACCTCAATGAATTTAATAAGCATAGCATACTAGTAGAACAAAGGCACCCATAGTAATCCTCAAAGCAAGCCAATATACTTCTCATAATGTGCTGTCTATAGATCTGCAAACTCTTGTTTACAGTACTGGTTCATTGTAGGAAATTTTTATGTCATTTTGGCTTCAGTGGCAGATTTTTTCTAGTGTGCTTGTGCACAATTCCTTTAGGGTTTTAAATTTGGACCTCAATAGCACACCAGCAGGTTTGCTAAATTTCCCACTGGTTTTCCAAACTCAGCAGTGAGAATTGTTAATGGAAAGAGACAAATGATATCTGTTCACCATATTGGTTTTGAAAGGAATTGCAAGTTACTTGAGATATTTTACACAGTTTTATTCTGTGTTACACCTCAGTATATTTCCTTCATCCCAGTTCAAATGTAAGGGTCCTTGTTGTAGAGATTTTTATGTCCTTTGTAACATCACCCATTTTCTCTTCTATTCCAGCTTCATTCTTTCCTTCAGACTTCTCAGTTTTATAATAATTGCATCAATGGGGTGTATTTGAATGAGAAAGGAGAGCTGGTAGCAGACCTTGCCATTATAAACTGGATCATTTTAGCCAATGGATCTGTCAGCAGAGTGATATTTGGGGATCTAGAAAGACCAGGATTCTTGGATGTGAAATTTACAATCAAGGAAACAGCTCTTGCAAGGATGGAACTGTTGAAGAAGGTGGAGGAAAAGTTTCATTCAGCTCTTTCTGAAAGTTTTACCAAGAGGATTCCACTGTCAGGACAGGGACAAAAATAGGTTTCCTTATTTATTTATTTATTTATTTGTTTGTTTATTTATTTATTTATTTATTTATTTTTATCAAGAAGAATAAAATGAAAAATAGAAAAACAGAAAAACATACATCTAACACTAATATTAACACAACAGCAAAAATGTGTAGAAAAAGGGGGAAATGACTCAAAGATCAAATAAATTTAACATTAAACATAAAGAATCCATCCCAAGGTTGACTGACCTTCCGAGGTCAGTAAAATGTGGACCCAGTTTGTTGGGGGCAATATGCCAACTCTGTGAACCGCTTAGAGAGGCCTGCAAAAGCATTGTAAAGTGGTATATAAGTCTAAGTGCTATTGCTATCCCAGCTAGTTGCTGAAACAAACAACTAATAAATTCTCCTCCCCTTTGCACAGTGGGTCTATAAAATTGTAAGCTTTCCCATCCCTATTTAACAAAAATACTATATTAAATAAACAGATATTTCAGGTGAGATCTTTATCTGATATTCAAATCGACCCAATATCTGTTCATAATATATATGTAAAAGATAATAAAAAACAGTCAACAGCTTAGCCCAATAATCTTCAAATCCCTCTGTTAATCATCCATTATTCTATTTAACATGTAGAAAGTCTACAGTTAAGCTAACTAGTCCATTGTTTCTAATCAAAGCAATTGGTTTCACCATCTCTGCTAATTCAATTTTAAAATCCATTCTTTAACAGTTGTCATAATTTTCCTTTCAAGTCCTTGGCAAGTACAATCTTCACTGTGGTCACCATTTGCGGATTTTGTTTCTATGTCAACTCATAAAACATTCCTATGCCTGTTTTCAAATTGCCATAAACAAAGAGGGGGGGAATCTGAAGGAGCATTATGGCAGTTGCACCCTTATCTTTAAAAGATTGTAGTTAGACTACTGGATCTTCTGCCCGCAAAAATCCTTCATTGGAGAACATGATTGATGACACTCAGCCCATGAACGTGCTTCATTGGAGAATCTGATTTATGATACACCCAGGGGAGAGGGGGGAAACAGGATCACAGGTGACTGTAAATTATGTATTCCAGAGTTGGCTTCATTTAGGTTAATGCTGACATGTTGCTCCTAATAAATCTTTTGAATCTTTTTGAAGCTTGGCTCAAGGCTCATGACTTAATTAGGGCAATCACTGGAATCCTGACACTCTATTTTCCAAAGCAGTCAACAACTTTGGTTAGATGTTCAGTGATTCGTGAGAAATGCATTCCTTAACTATTCCAGTTGATTGTTTATCCGTGAATTAAATCACGAGGCAACGTGATTTATTTCACCAAGGCAGGGAATCCCTCCAAATTTCCCTCGAGCATACAAATTGAGAATTAAAAGTAAATTTGTACTGTGGGAAGAATTACAAGAGAAAATAAATAGGAAACAAGAGGTTTGATGAGTTCCTGGTTGTTCAAAGGCTTCAAATTTAGCAAAGCTAAGCCTGGGGATTCCCAAACCTTTCACCCTTTTGCTATTTTTCCAAAATAAGCTCATTTTCAGTGTACTCTTCCTCTCTCTATTCAGCCCCTGCCTCTTTCCAGGTGTGTGGAAAACTGTCCTCAAGGATTCATGAAGGTGGCTCAGGAAGGGAAGCCCATCTGTTGCTACAACTGTCGTCCATGTGCAGAAGGAACCATCTCCACCAAGGAAGGTGGGTGACAGAAGAAGAAAGAGCAGACTTTCAGGAAGGCCATATACCCTGACCCATGAAAGTGCATTTTGAAAGACAGCTTTTTTTAAAAAAACTTTATAAATTTATTTCATAGTGAATTATACAAAAACATATTGAGGCTAAACTGAGAGAGGACATTAAATGATACAGTACAAGAGAGGCTTGACCATTATGAAAGATGTGGCATATCTTGTTCTTTATAATTACAATGAAATTTTCAGTGAAAGAGAGGCTCAAGATCCAGAAGGAGTTTGACAGATTTGAAAACTGAGCCCTAGACAAGGAAAAATTCAGGAACACCTTTTGATATCATCACACCGTATCTAGCTCATCCTGAAAGCAGCTTCACCTACCTTTGTTTGTTCTTTGGAAAAAGTAGTGTTTTTCATGTGTGCTGACAGATGTACTTTATTCCATTGTAGAAAGGGGGCTCCTTCATCCTCCAAAACACTGACAAAGGCTGTAGTTCAATTTTCAACAGGTCCAGCAGTGTAAAACTAAAATGGTGGACCTTTCTCCTTTCCTTGGTATCTCCCTCCCACCCTCCTTCTCTCTCGATAATTTTACAGATGAAATCATGACATTAAAAAAAGAGAAAAGAATAACATTAAGAACTTCTAGCTGGAGGGAAATGAAGAAATGCATTTACTTCATCCACACAAAATCATTCTCTCCAACCATAGTTTCACCCACAAAATATACCTCATCGAAGGACATGTTTTATGGTTGATTCTACTCTTGCTCTTTTTCAGATGCAGAACAATGTACCAAATGTTCAGAAGATCAACATCCAAACAGCAATCGAGACCACTGTATTCCAAAAATTATGAACTATCTTTCTTATAAGGAAAATCTGGGGATCATCCTGACTTTCATTGCCTTGTTCCTCTCTTTAACCACAGGCTTTGTCTTGGGAATCTTCATTAAATACCTGGAAACACCAATTGTCAAAGCCAACAACCGGGATCTCTCCTACATCCTCCTGATCTCCCTCATATTTTCCATGTTGACCACTTTCTTCTTTATTGGCCATCCACAGAGAGTGACCTGCCTCCTCCGACAAGCAGCTTTCAGTGTCATCTTCTCAATAGCCATTTCTTCAATTTTGGCCAAAACAATCACAGTGGTATTTGCTTTCTTGGCCACAAAACCAGGGAATAAAATGCAGAGATGGCTCGGGAAGAGCTTTGCTAATACCATCATCCTTTCTTGCTCTGGTGTCCAAGTTGTCATCTGCCTCATCTGGTTGAGCATCTTTCCTCCATTTCCTGACACTGACATGCATTCCCAACCTAGAGAGGTCATCATACAATGCAATGAAGGCAGTATCACCATGTTCTACTCTGCCCTTGGGTACATGGGTTTTCTTGCTACTGTTTGTTTCACAGTGGCTTTCCTGGCCAGGAATCTACCTGGAGCTTTTAATGAAGCCAAGTTGATCACCTTCAGCATGCTGGTCTTTTGCAGTGTTTGGGTGTCCTTTGTGCCTGCTTACCTGAGTACCAAAGGGAAGTACATGGTGGCTGTGCAGGTCTTCTCCATCTTGGCTTCAAGTGCTGGCCTACTGGGCTGCATCTTCTTCCCCAAGTGCTACATCATTGTGCTCAAACCAGATCTGAATACCAAAGAACAAATGATGTTGAAATAAAATATACATGACTTTATGGATATCTCTTTTTCTATTCTCTATTTAGCAATTGCGTAGTACAGTAATAGACAAATCAACTAGATTTGATAGAAATCATATTGATAGATAAATGTAATGGACTATCATTTGTAATGAATATTTTCTCTTGTTTTTAATCCAAAACCATATATATGAATAATATAAAAAGAAAGGAAAGGAAAATGAAATAAAAAAGCAATAAAGGAACTAAAATTATACATTGTTTATTTATAGATCATGTAGAAAATATATTGTATGTGTGTGTGTATGTATGTATGTATGTAATGATAACTATTTGAATAAAACTGACTACATTTCATTATAATCATCACAACATAATCTAAGCTTGTAGGCTATTCATAACTTTCTAATTTTGAATGACAAGCCTCTTTTTAATGGAAAATCTATTTAATAAGGTGTATAATTCCAAAGAATATGTCAAACAACCTTATCCCCTGTCTTCTTTGCAAATGGAAGAAGCACAAAGAATTGTTGTATTTTAGATAATTGCCAATAAACATTAGCTTGTTGTTAAATTGTTTCTTACATCTAAGGGTCTTGTAAATAAAACCCAGTTAATCTTCTTCCAAGCACACTCAAACCTGTACGATCCAATCTGAGTCAATCACTGGGATCAGAGGTTTATTCTTCCAAGCATTCGGTGCTCATCCTCAGGGAACTTCTGACTCTCCACACTCAAAGTTGTTCTGCACTGTAACCCTCAACATTGTTACTATGCACAATGATATATTTCAAAAAATGAAAAATGGATGGACATGATGAACACTAAGAGATGTCCTCTTCCAGGTGACATGTCGCCATAGCTGGCAGATTCTCTTTTATCAGAATAACAGAGTTGGAAGGGACCTTGGAGATCTTCTAGTCCAACCCCCTGCTCTTGCAGGAAACTTTATACCATTTCAGGCAAATGGTTGTCCAATCTCTTCTTTAATACTTCCAGTGTGTTCTATTCAAGCTTAACCTCACTCTCATCTTTCTATATTACCAAGCAATGAAATAAATAGTGAATATTATTTAAAATTGAATGAGAGTCAAACTTAGAATTACTAGTCAAAAGCCTTTTAAAGCAGTGGTTGCCAACCAGTGAGCCGGGGACCACTGGTGGTCCATGAGAAAATTTTGTGGGTCAGCAGAGAAATGTCACCCTCAAAGAAATTAATTCTGCTTGCGTGGGAATACAGGGCTGCACCACCCACATGGCCTGCAGGAACACAAGGCTTGCATTGCGAACAACACGAGGTAGTGGGGGGGGGAAAGGGCAGAGGCGGGGAGCTTGCCCCACTTTCCTCACTTGCCTTGCCTGGCCACTAGGTTGTTTCTGCTTCTTTCTTCTTCTGCTTTTGGCTGCATGCAAGGAAAGCAGCAAAAGTCTTTCTTTCTCTCCCCCAAATTCTGCCAGATATGAGTCTTTGGGACCCTGCAAGACATCCTGCTCCAAGATGCTGCACCGGCAAAGACTCATTTTTGGTGGAGTTTGAAGGACAGGAAGAAAGACTTCCGCTGCTTCTGCTGCTTTCCTTGCAAGAAGTCAAAAGTCTCTCTCTCTCTCTCTCTCTCTCTCTCTCTCCCTCCCTCCCTCCCTCCCCCGAGAACATAAATGACCTTTGTGATCACCTTATAAGCAACTGTGCCCTCTTCACTGATGAGGTTAAAATATTCAATGCTGCCGACAATGCTACTGTTCTTCAAAGTGACCTTGATCATGTGTCTGAATGGTCAAACATTTGGCAACTCCAAATCTCAACCAACAAATGCTTTGTTCTACACATTGGTAAAAAAAACCAGTACACTAAATACAAGCTAGGCAGATATGACTGTGTTGATGACCCTTGCTCTATCAAAGACCTTGGAGTACTCATATCAAATGACCTAGGCACCAGAGCTCACTGCAAAGGCATTTCCAAAAAACATACAAAACATACAAAACCTTTGCTAGACCAATACTCAAATACAGCTCATCTGTCTGGAATCTGCACTGTATATCAGACATTAATACAATTGAGTGAGTCCAGAAGTACTTCACGAGAAGAGTACTACACTACTTTGCTCGCAGCAGAATACCCTACACCACCAGGCTTGAAATTTTGGGCTTGGATAACCTTGAACTACACCACCTAGTTGGACTTAGGCGTAGTACACAACATTATCTGCTACAATGTCCTACCAGTCAATGACCACTTCAGCTTCAACCACAACAATACAGGAGCGCACAACAGATATAAAATCAATGTTAACTGCTCCAAATGATTGCAGAAAGTACAAATTCAGCAACAGAGTGGTCAATGCCTGGAATGCACTACCTGACTCTGTTGTTACACCCTCTAACCCCCACTCCTTTACCCTTACACTATCTACTATTGCACTCACCCCATTCCTAAGTGGTCTGTAAGGAGCGTGCATAAGTGCACCATTGTGCCTACCGTCCCTGTCCTATTGTCCCCATTTATTTATACCTATTTCCTGTGTACATACTCATATTTATTATTATACCTATTATCTTGTAAGTGATTGACAAATCAAATAAATCAAATATCTTCCTCAGAGATGGGACCCACAACATTCCCTGCCTCCCCACTCTGATGGGTTGGGTAGAAGTGACTGGCGAGAGATGTTCCCTCAGATAACCTGGTCCTAAGCCATGAATCAAATCTATAAATCTGTAGCATGAACAACTTTCTCCAAGAATTATTTATTTTGAGCATGCTAGAAATTCAACAAGAACCTCAAATTTTATGACCTATATCCAAGTCAGCAGTTCTTTGTATTGATTCTACTGCCTGAAAACTTAGTATGATTAAAGGACACTAGTGAAGGGATCCAAGCTCTATTAACCATGATTCAAATTAGAGCCATGGTGGAACAGTGGTTAGAATGCAGTATTGCAGTATTCTGCCCACTGCAAGGAGTTTGATCCTGACCAGCTCAAGGTTGACTCACCTTTCTATCCTTCTGAAGTCAATAAAATGTGGTCCCAGATTGTTGGGGGCAATATGCTAACTCTGTAAATTGATTAGAAAGGGCTATAAAACACTGTGAAGCAGTATATAAGTCACTTAATGTAAGTCAGTTAATTGTATATCCTTGAGATTAAGCCCAGCTCATTTTTCTCCAAGCTCAAATCTGCATATGTCTAAAATCTTTAATTTTCACATTTCTTAGGAAGTCAAGAAGTCAAGTCCCTTTGATTGCTGAGGACTTCATGGGGATGTTTCCTGCAGGTTTCTAATTGACTCTCCTCAAATGTTTACTATTATTGTTGGGGGCAATATGCTGACCCAGTAAACCACTTAGAGAGGGCTGTAAAGCACTGGGAAGGGGTATATAACTCTAAGTGCTATTGCTATTATTTTATATTCATATTACTTCTTATCTTTATTCTATTACTAGTCAAATCCAACTCTGCTTACCTTCTAAGCTTAAACCAAGTTAGTTCAAACACCTAAAAGAAACCCCCCAAAAAGCATTTTTTCACACTTGGCCAATAAAGAATTCTATTCTATTCCATTAAAAAAATTCAATAATATAAGAAGTCCAGTAAAAATATTAAAATACAATCACATCTCAATTCATGTTGGAATGAATTCTTCGCTATAAAGATTAGAAGATTAAAACTTTATTGGCATTGTACAAGTACAACGAAACTGTGGATGCACCCCAGCAACTGTTCGCAGTACAATAAAACCAAAGCACTTAAAAATGAAGATAAGAAAGATAGAGTACCCATGTCTCCATTTGCAATTTGAGAGTACAATATCTACGAATATACACAAAATATACATCCAACAATGACTGTAACACTTAGCTGAGTATAATACACAAGAGATGGATTGTACTGTAATATGCTATTATACAACTGAATTGGGTATTGAGATTTCACATTTTTGACATCTTAATGAGGTAGTGACTTTGTGTTTATTTGTGGTTTGGATGGCCCAGGGAAAGAAACTATTTGTTAGTCTAGTGGTGTGGGATTTTATTGACTTAAAACGCCGTCCAGATGGCAGCAGGTCAAAAAGATAATCGCCAGTGTGTGAGGGGTCTTCTATAATGGCCTTGATTCTGCTTTGGCAGTGAGACCTGGTGAAGTCTTCCAGGGAGGGCAGAGGGCAACCAATGACCTTTTGAGTTGTGTTTATCACCCTCTGTACAGTTTTCCTGTCCTCAGCTGTGGAGCCTGCACACCACACACCCAGACAATACATCAGAGTGCTCTCCACAGAGTCTTTATAGAAAGCCAGCAACAGCTTCTTATCCAGATTGTTCTTCCTGAGAACCCGCAGGAAGTGCAGCCGCTGTTGAGCCTTCTTCACTATGGCCTTGGTGTTAGGGGACCAGGAGATATCAGCTGAAATATGGGTGCTAAGGAATCTGATCATAGGGACAGTTTCCACTCATTCTCTATTGATGATGAGTGGGGCGTGGTCCTGTCCATGTTTCCTGAAGTCCGTAATCAGTTCTTTGGTTTTATGGACATTCACTGACAGATTGTTCTGTGAACACCAGATAGACAGGTTCTCTACTTCTGCCCTATATGCCGTCTCATCCTCTCCAGAGATGAGACCAATCACGGTCGTGCCATCCGCAAACTTTATGATGGTGTTTGTTGTGTGGCTTGGTGAGCAGTCAAAGGTGTACCAGGGGATGAAAGGTGAACTTGTCAGGTTGTTCCTTTTGTGCCACTGAAGATGTTATTGAATTGGGTAATGAAATCTCTGCAAGAAAACAATCAAACTCATAGAGCATTAAAAATTCCACAGTTCAATCCTGGGCTACAAATATTGTTTTCTGTTCATTTTTTGTTTGAAACATTTCATTGCTTAAGCAGTGAAATCTTTCAAAACAAAAAACGAAAGAAATCCAGTTGCCATGATTCAACTTCCAGACAACTCTACCTGGATGACTGAGAATCTTTATTGATATTTTCTTTTATCATTGCTCTTCATCCTTTTCTTTTCCCTTCT